CTTTTCTACAAGGCATGTATCTTTTATTATAATAAAAGTTTGCTCACGAAAAATGAGTCAAGTAAATGTTATATCTTTAAGTATACAATGTCTTTCTTCATTTTTATAATTTTATAATAGTATAGATTTTCTTGGCATATGTCTCTTTACTTGACACAGGTATTTCTCACACTAAATTAAGACAACACGCCGGAAGGAGAGCATGTCCTAGGCTGTTTGGTTGAAATTTCTCACAAAATAAGAAACTAAGAAGCTCTTAAACATTTGCCTTAATAGGAGCAGACTAATTATGTTAACTGATTTATTAATATATGAAGTTCTTTGTCCAATTATTAAAAGTACAAAGAGACTAGGGAGCAATTTAAATGTCTAACGCACCTCAAAATCTTTTTTTTTTTAAAGGTTAATTATAATTCTAAGCAAAGCTATGCTAGATAGGCCCCTTAGGTTTTAGGCAGGTTTCAATAAAATAATAACAATAACATTACCTCATTGGCCAGCTCCAGGAGCACTGGGGCAGCTCCATTTTTCCCTACTCCGTTCAGGTACCTAGATAAGACAAAGCCAAGTGGTAAAGCAGTGACAAGAAAAGGCCAGCATAGACTTGTCAGCATCCCCTGTGTGTACATGTTTCTCCTGGGCAAATGCCATGCTCAACTCTAGTTAAAGTGTGCTACTGTCATAGGAAAGCACTGACGGGAAAAGGATAATAAAACAACTTACCTTAAAACCACGGGCAACTAACTAACAGAAGCTGGGACAGGAGCGATGCGCACATCAGGCTCCCCTGTGTTCGCTTCCCCACATGGAACGTGAACACAGAGGTGATGTCAAAAAGAACTCTCCCTGTCACCCCGGCTATACCTATACCACGACCATCTCATGGAAAGGAAGTAAGTTCGCTCTTATGGTTTGAAAAAAGCATGCATGCATCCATATCACCTTTTTTATTACTTTTGTTTCACAGGGCTGGTTGATACCTTATTAAGAAAAAAATGGAACAGACTTGCACTTGGGTCAGTATACCTTTAATAGACAATACAAGCCATCATCTCATTGGCCCTCGGTTTCTGTTATAACCTCCAGCTCTCCCTATTCCCTAATCCCACTAAACAAACAAACAAACAAACAAATAAACAAACACCTCCCCCAAATCCATCCCAAACATGGAAGCTGAAGTGGTTTCTTTGAAACAAAAAAGTACCATTCTTCTCCTTAAAATACTTCAAAGGCCCCACATTAAATCTCCAGATTAAATTATAACCACTTAACAGCTCTTGTAAGGCTCTTCAAAACCTGGTTTCTACCTACTCTACTTGGCCAGCCTCATCTTTAGTCACTGTTCCCCTCTTTAGCCTTTACCTGGAGAACTCATGTTTCTGCTTATATGTCACCCCCTTCAATCCACCACCAACCAGGGGTGCAAGGAGCACTTTGTACACCTCTCTACCACTTAACACAGCATACTGTACTTGCCATGTTACTTGTCCGCCACAAACCCATTCCCCACTAGAAGGTTGAAAGCTCCGTGAAGGTAGAGGAATTGTATTTTATTTAATTTATTATGCCTAGCATAGTTCTGGTTTATAATAGGTGATGATATTGAACATAACCTATATTTTGTAATAAATGACTATATAGGTATATATATTTCTTTTAAAATTAAATATTTTTAAAGCCATAGTGGCAAGAAAATATAATTAGATATGGACATTTTCTCTACAGTCTACTGTCTGAGTAAATAAATTAACAATATTTTGTTTTAGAAATCAAAGTCAATAGACAAGGTCCTTCAAAAAACTGCCAGCAGCAGATACTAACTTATATTATTTCACAAGTATGCTTATAAAGATGTATGCTTTCCTTATAAACAAAGTATAATAAAAGCAAATTATGCAAAGTGGGGAGGGTCTCAGGATCATGATAACTTCAAAGTAATTCTAACAAGTCCATTTTCCATATATTCAAGTCTTTCATGAAAAATTGTTTGGAAATCTAACTAGGAAATAAATACTTTCAGATGCAAGGAAAAAACAAACAAAAAAACAACTTAAGTGTGGCTTAGAGAAAGGTCCCTGGGAAATAGGTCAGCTAGGAACCTCATGTCAACTTACAACAACATTTCCATTGCACTGATAGGTCAGCTCAGGAATGACCAATCAGTTCGACTCGACCAATCAGTTCAGTCAAGTAAGAGCAACTAACTGTGTGCTTCTAACCCCCCGAAATGCACGTTCATTAAAGGTTCAGATTCTGGGTCAGAGTCGTTAAGCCTATACTGATATTAGGGTATCTTTATAACTTTCTACTCAACATTCATTGACCTCACACACATTCTTGAGGGCTAACTATGTTTTGAGCCTTATTCCAGGTTCTGAAGCAGCAGCAGGGAACAAAACATCCCTGATTCCTGCTATCACAGAGATTATGTTACAGCGGAGAGACAGAGCATGAAACGACAGAAAAATACATGCATAACGATATGTGCTATGATAAAATGTAAACTTAGATGGGTTGGTCAGGAGGCCCATCTCTAAGGAAGTGACACTTGCAAGAAGGAAAGCAGCAAGCTATGGGAAGAGGAGCTTTTCCAGCACGAGAACAGTACACACAAATGTCAATGTGCCGGGGTGTCTGAGGACCAGGAAAAGCTCTAAGGTGACCAGAGCAGAGCTTGTGAGAGCTAGGTGGAAAAAAATGAAAGAGGGTAGCTAGACCCCAGACCACTGCCTGTGCTAGAGAACTGTTGTTCTGAGTCAAAATCACATGGTGCCATGTAAATATTGCATCAATCATTATCCTGGTAATGACCCATGGAACATTTTCATTAAGTTTAAAGAAACAGGAGATGGTCAAACGGTAATAATAACCCACTCTATCTATGTAGTCTATATAATATTTGAAGGATGTTCATACTTAATACAGTGGAAATTCCTAATAATGAGCTTGATAAAGCTTTCCAGTTGGTCATAGAAAGAAAGCGAATCCCAGGGTACTGAAGAAACCCATCTGGGCTCTGTTAGCTGGTATTCAGTAAAGCTCCAATGGAATCCTGACCAACAAGGTCTACTGAGGAGCCTTCAGAAGTTGAAAAGGGTAGGCCTGCTTCTGAACATATTAATTCCCAATCTGTTTCCCAACTATATCCTATAACACGTCAGAAGTGCTAGGGAAAGGAAATTAAAATTAATTTAAAGCTGTATTTGTCCTTTCTGAGAACTTTAATTGTCCCCCATATCAAGTGACAAATTGGGGTTATTCATATTTTTAGATATGCAATCAAAGGGGCATGTTAATTACAGAAAACATTAAGTAAGGACATAATCAGATATTCCTAACACTACCCTTCTCTGCATTCTCAAAGCTCCTGTGTAAACTTCCAGCACAGACTTTTCACATGGTGGACATGGTTCGTGTCTAACTAGACTGGAAGCTCCTTGGGGTGGAGCTACACAAATGAATATTGAACCTTCATCCACCAGATCCTCAGCAAATATCTGAATTACAATAGAGGTATAAGGATGTGGTCCTGAACACTATGTTAGGGTGTCCCCCGATAGCTTCCTAATGCCTATTTGCAAATAAAAACTACTTTGTATGGAAGATACCTGTTACCCTTTAACTTTGCCACAGGAAGACTAACAAATGTATATCTTGTGGGTGAAACCATCCTTAGAAGATATTCACAGAAGGTCCATTTTATGTTTTTTTT